AGAGCTCAGCCCACCCATTACCAGCATGTAGTCGCAGGCAGAAGGAAACATTTATACCCAGAAAAGCCATGAAAACCACCCATCCAGGTGGGTTCTGTTCTTGTCGAGCACTCAGCTGAATGCTATGCTATAGTGAAGCTGCTGATGTATCAAAATTTTGCCATGACTAACCTACGTAAAGGCACTGCCCGATGAAGCAGCAAGCTATACAGATCCAAAGGTTACTAGTTCAAGTCACAGCGCTAAGTTAGCAGAACCCAGCCAAGACGCCATTTGGGGCAGTATAATTGGCTTTTGTGTCTCTGGGTTTGAGAGGGGAAAATAGCAAGGGCTTCCATTACTAACTGCTTTCCAGCTACCTTTACTGACAAATTGATTTGTCTGTGGATTCCCATCTAGTCTTAGTTCATAATGATTTTGCCTTCAAATTTAATATCACAGAATTGTGAAAATTCTTGAATTCAGTCCTTCTTTGGAAGCCACGTTTTTTTAAAAAAGTGCTGAAATCCCAGAGTCCTGAATTAAGAAGGTCCTACAATTTTGCAATGTCTTAATTTTAAAACAAGATGGTCTTAACGAGCTTAGACTGGGTGAAATGTTGGGCTTCAATTGAGGACAGGATAGGACTTGGGTATCATGTGCTACCTGGTCAAATAGTTTGATAATAGTTACAGGCATGAAGGATGGTCACTTAGATGGAGTAGCTAGCAGAGAAAGGCCAGCGCTCTTGACCATACTCACCACACTCCAGCAAGTGGTAGTGCCTTCAGGAGAGGAGAAAAGAAAGAGAAAACCCCACATTTTACCACAAAAAGGTTCCACTGTATAAATGAAAGCTCAAATTGAATTGAATTTGCGATGTAAATAGGCTATGAATGAAGTTATTCCAGCGTGTAAACTGACATGCAGGAAAGTTGGTGAGAACAATGAAGTCAGTGCAAATGAATTATAAATACATTGACCTAATTCATTCCCAGTTCCTTGTGTAAATAAGATTTGCAAGACAGATGGAAGACTGAAATTGCATTGAGAGTTTATCACTGCAAAATAACTGTGATCAAAGGAAATGAGTAAACACACCTGCATTCCCCACACTGACTATGAAATCGGTTCCTACCCTGAGGCAAACCAAGCACCAACAAAATATGCATGGCTATTGTTTGTGTAAGAAAGATGGGCTGGCGTGACTCAATGCTTTCGTCTGCACCCTGAGCTATCAGATGGTGAGCGTTAATGTCATTAACTGCTCCATTAATCAAAGTAACTGAAAACTGCCATTACTGTAAAACATCTGTTATGTACTCCCATTGAAAGCCAGAGAGCAACAGATTGACAGGGAAGTGAAAAAATCGTGTTGAACACATTGCTAGTGCCCTTATCATTCTTTAAACCACTGAAATAGAGTGTGTATCTCAATAATAATATTAATAATACTTACATTTGATAATAACCCCTTTTATGTCAGGAAAACTTCTCAATGCTCCTCACAGAATGCACTGTGAAGTGTCGTGACTGTTTATTTTGAAGGCAAAAGCAGGAGCCTAATAGAGCATAGCAGTGCCCCACTAACGCCAGTGGAGTAAGTGACCAATTTTATTTGGGGGATTTGTTGGCCAGGAAGCAGGGAGAAACTCCCATCTCTTTTTGAGTGTCCTGGATCTTTACATCCACCTAAATACAGATGGGACCTCAGTTTAATGTTTCAACCAAAGGACAGCCTCTCCAATAATGTAGCATGTCCCCAGCATTGCATTAAAGGACTGTTGGCCTGCATTACTTGAGAGAGGTACCAGCAGACAGCACCTCCAGGAGATGGGGAGAAAAATAAAGGAAGAAAAAGAGACTTTAATAAAGATTTTTTTACTATTGCCAGTTGTATTCTGGTAAGAAATGAATGTGGAATTCAAGAATAAAATCTGATATAAAAATAGAATCAGCAACCAACAAGGTAAGGTTCAAAGGAATGAATCAACCTGTGTACTCTTAACAAAGTTGGTAGAAAGACTTGTCTTTGAATAACCTAATGTAGAGAGTAATGAATCTGAGGAATATTTGTGTTTCGGACAACTTATACATCAAATAAGTTAGAATCCAAAGCCACGTTTCACAAAAAAAGAAAGCAGTTCGTTAGAGAGAAAATTAGAGATATTTGCAGTTTTTTGTAAAAAAAAAGGAGGAAAAATAAAAGCATCACATAATTATTGTAATCAGCATGGAAAGCAACCAAATAAATAAAATATTGAATTGCATTCCTCTTTTTAATCCTTGCTATCCAGGCTGCAACTAACACGTGTATTTAAATGAAGGGAAGTCTGGCTGAAGTTTGATGTTTTTTTCTTTCCCTCTCCCTCCATCCCTCCCTCCCTCCCTCTCTCTTTCTGCTTGTTAAATAGCTCTGACATTCCTGTCTTTGTGTCAATCTGATCTGAAGTGAACAGATGTCCCAGGCTTTGTTTTGGCGAGCCCTGGGCAGGACAATAGCACCTCTTCTCTGGATAATCAGCCTGCTGCATGCATGGATTGCGCCTGGCAGCTGGCAAGCAGCTCCCCCGCTCCTAAACACACTCCCAGCAATCAGCAGACTCAAATTACTCAAATATTTGAAAGCTAAATACGACCAAATGGTTCTTTAAATCTCTTCGTTTTTTTTCCATTTGCCTTTTGCAAAGCCGTCGATTGAGGGGTACAACTGAAATACATTTGGTATTCTCTCTGCCGGGCATATTTTCTTCAACATTATTAAACTCTTTTGATAACCCGCGTACAGGTGTTATATGTACATTTATTTGTAAAAGGTTATCACAAATATTTTTTGATTGCTCATTTCAAAAGGTAAAATTGTACAGTATTTATGTGCCTAACTTGTAGCGAGGTTGATTATTCTTCCAACGTCTCATCCTGCCTTATGCGCTTAAAAAGCTAACAGTGCTGTTAGTAATAATCCCTTAAAAAAATAGAAATTTGGTCCCTTAATCCACGACTGCTTGTGAGACACTGCTGTGCGCAATTGGTTGCCAAGTTTCGCTCACAAAATATAAAGTCAATTCACTTTATACAGTATATTCTGTGAAGGGCTTTGAGACATCTCAAATATGTGATAAGGTACTATATCAAATGCAAGGATTATTATGTTATTATGCTGTACATGCCACAATTTAACATAAAGCTCCGCTTTCTGCTCTGCTCAAAGCCAATCCCAGCACAAGCCAAGATTTTGTTTCTTCTAATCCTAGTTATAGACCTTTATCGTATAAAAAANCGAGGTTATATTTCTCTGTTGAATTTGTGTCGAACCCTAACACAAGGCCATACTTTTTGCTACTTAGTCTTAATCCTAACCATGAAACAAGGCTACCCTTTTTGCTCCTCAACCCCAAATCTACCTTAATCTCTATTCTAACCATGAACTAACTTTCCATGCTCTCTAACTCGAATCCCATTCGAGCCAAGGCTACCCTTTCTATCATTCCTAATCCTAAAATAAATTGTTTCATTTTGTGAATCGTCCAAACTGTAAAAAGAATCTCTAGTTTCTGCTGAACATCTACGCATCAGACACATCCTGAATTGCTGCAAACTTGTTGAAGCCTCCATTGTGAAATAGAATAAAAACACACGTATACAATAAATGAAAAAGCAAAGAGGATAAAAATATGAGCTAATGAATGAGCAAGAGAAAAGAACGCAAAGCAGTCTGATTGAAAGGAATCTTCTGAATAGAGCCAGTGAATTGATGAACACTGCACAAAAAGCAGCAGTGTATACTATAAATGCAAATTAATGAGTTTTTCTTGTACACCTAGACAGGTCTGGAAAATGTAACCTCAAAAAAGTGCTGTTTATTTACTTAATTATTAATAATATTAGAAATCACATTTTCCCTTGCACACACAAACAAAAGTTTTGATGCAAACAAATGAATCTCATAATACTAAAGAGGCCAGAAACATCTGTAAATGTGGAGGAGCACCACACACCTACAGATCCTATAACTCTGACCCAGAACAAATTTCTCTGTGCTCTTCAACCAATATCTATTATATTATATCACCGTGCTTAAGAGTTTCCAAACCAAACTGAGCATTCCACGCATCCACCTACACATGGCAATCCCAGAGATAGATTGTTATAATGGTCTCGGCTGACTTTTCTGCTGTTGACATGGTGACAGTGGGAGAGCAACTCACTCACTCAATGCTGCCTCGGTTGCGGAGAGGGCGACAATCCCCCTCATTGCTATCGGCTGAAAAATATACATTTGGATAGTAATGTGTTTGGTCATGTAACAGTTGTACAGTCTGATGACCGTCAGTCAGTTCCAAGGCTGAGATGTAAAGAGCAGTGACTTGGACTGGGTGGTATTTGCGCGATTGGGTTCATATCCCAGCATGAGAAGAACCGGGGTAAACTGAAGGTGAATGTGTTGTATCACTTCGGTTCCAGATGTACTGATCAGTCCAAAAGACAGTCAGTTCAAATCCCTGACTGTCCAGTTCCTTGGGACGTCCTCCTGACGTGGTTTGGGGAGGGTGAGGGTGGGGGGGGGGGTTGGTTTGGAGCTGGTTATTATGCCCCCTGCAGGCTGCTGTGGCTCAGTGAGCAAGGATCCAGGGCTTGGCATTTTCTCTCTCTCTCTCTCTCTCTCTCTCTATGTGGAGCCTTTGATCGCTTGAGGAACACACAGCTCTGACATTCCTGGCATTCCAGTCGCTCTGGTGTGTGTGTGTGTGTGTGTGTGTGTGTGTGTTGTTCTGCTTCCACGATCAGCCCCAAAACCATTCCTCACCAGACAGCCACCAGAGTAACAACAAACGCGCAGTGCAGAGCATCCCCAACACCCCCCAACACCACCCAACAACCCCCCCAACACCACCACCACCCAAAATAAAAGCTCCTCAAGGAAGAAAAGAAGAAGAAAAAAGTTCACATAGACATTTTTATTATTTTTCCCAAAATATATATATCTATATATATATATTAGAAATTAACCCCCCACCCCCCCCCAAAAAAAAATATTCAGTAACTACGACTTGGTTGATTTTCCAGAGACAACCCATCACTTCGTCTTGATGTGAAAGTGTCAAATTGGGGTGAGTTTCTTCTTTTTTTATGGTTTAAAGCGATTTCTTTTATTCTCTCTCTGTCTCTCTCTCTGTCTCTCTCTCTCTCTCTCTCTCTCTTGTCCCCAAGTTTCACCAGTTTCCCACCTTTGGGACGAAAAGTAACAGGTTGTGTTATTCTGATCGGTCACAACTTTTTTTGTGGGGGGGAAAAAAAACTTTTTCCAGATGTGTTTAAACAGAGAGAGAGAGAGAGAGAGAGAGAGAGTTTTTTTTGACCCAACTTTTTTTTATTTGCTGTGTTGCACAGTAAAGGGAAATAAACCTCTGCGGAATAAAATCCTGGTGTTTGCACCATTTGTATTTGTAGTAAAACTTCTTTTTTTCTCTTCTTCCCCCCCCCACCCCCCTACCCACTGTTTTCTTTGTGGGGGGGGGGTTCCAACTGTGATTTTTTTTTCTCTCTTGGAAAAGTTTGTGGAGTGGATTGTATTTTCTTTTCTTCTTCTTCTCCTTCTTCTTCCTGCTGTGCTGGTGAATGATGTCACTTCACAAGAATGTACAGACACAAAAGCGAATGCAGAAACTATTCAGTGTGTCGGTAAAGAGTATTAAGCCATAACAAAATATTATTTATCTATAAAATATTTTGCAAAAGCACCAAATCAGCTGATTGATGGTTCCACACTGAGTGCAATTGCTCTCTCTCTCTCTCTCTCCATAAAGTCGACTCAAAGCACAGAATCATCTCAAGAATCTTCACGTGTGATGAGAGAGAGAGAGAGAGGAGAGAAAAAAAATGTTCAGTTTGATTCGATTTGCTTTAATCTTTAGAACCTTTTTTTTCTCTCTCACGGTTTCTTGAGACTTGATTTGTAGGCGTTAAAAAAAAATGTGTTATTTTTGGACTTTTTATGTAAGTTGGGGATTGTCCAGGTTCAGAGGGACGTGCAGTTGTGCAATGCTGGTGTTTTCCAAGTTGTGGAATGCATGTTTTGCCCCCAAAATGCCTCATATAGGTGAATGAGTCATTTTGGGGGGGTGGGAAATCTTCAGGAATGCAATCCCTTTTTTACACGTCTGTTGTGTTTTTAGCAGTGCATTTATTCAGGGGATAACCTCACCTGACTGAAGTGAGAAGGATTTCCCCCCCACCCTCACACCTTTTACTGACACTGTTTGTATTTGCTTTTATCAAATGCAAGGATTATTATTATTATTATTATTATTATCAACCAGTATGTGTGTGTGTGTGTATTTTTTTTGGTGGGATGTTTCCTCCGACCTAAATGAGTTAGTTAGTTAGTTTGCAAACAGTAAGCACTGATCATGTTAGTGTCGAAAAACGTGTTGCCTTTATTTCTCTGCCACAAAATTTGAGAGCAAAAAAATAGGTTGGTGTCGAAATCTTGACAGTGAACTGGATAAGATCTGAAAGAAGCATATAAATAAAAACGGACCGAAAGAATGTAATTCGGATGCTTTTACTCCCCAAGAATCCCATCTCTGCAAAATGTTTTCCCGGGTGATTTATTCTTTCTTCATTTGAAGGCAGGATTTCAAATTTTTTCAAATTTGTATTTGAAAAAGCTGCCTTCCTTCTTGTGACGACGCTTTTTTGAAATAATTCTCCCCAATAAAAACGAATTGTTTACTCTCCTGGTTTTGTGTATCCATAAAAACACAAGTTGCAGTTGCTTTAGAGTTGACCCAATAATTTAAAAGCGAACAAAAACTTTCGAAATAATTAGGCATTTTGTATCCCTCGCAGACTACAAACTTGCAACCCTTTTCACTGATGCCAACTTTGCCACACAAATGTTGTTAACAAGCGACTTTGCAACAAAGGAAAACAATAATATGGAGGTGATTTTAAAGTGCTAGAAAAATTCCGCGCACTCTTGTTTGGGGGGGAAAAAAGAAGTCTGTACTTTTCTGCCCCCTTCTCCACCCACCCCACAGAAATTCCTCTGGATTTTCATGCTAAAGTTTATTCAGTCTCTCATTACCTCTGCGCAACCAGCCAAATTCCCAGAGTCCCTCCTTCACGACCCAGTAATTTTATGCTTGCAATTTAATGCTTAAAATTCCTCAAGTTCATGCCATTATCCACCGATGAAAAACAAGTACCCAGAGACTTGATGACTGTTTCAACGTTATTTCGGCCTGACGTGCTGTTTCCAAGGAAACAGCTCCCAGGGAGGTAAGAGTGTGCAGCATTGGAGTAGACCCAAGACAGCAGTGTGACAGGATTTCTCCTGAATTGTATCCTGTTTGATTTTCTTGGAAGGAGTTTGTGGACTTCTACAAAGACTTAATGGGATATGGGGTTTGGCCGCCTTGCCCTGCTCTGCCCGCACAGATTGGAGGGTTACTGTTAACGTGAAGATGTGCAGAGTAAACCACTCCACTGCCATCACCTTCCAGCCCCTTGACGGTTATTTTACTCCCATCACTGTTGTTATTTGCAGTATTACAAGTTATTCACATTGAGGAAACCCAATGCTTAAATGTAAGACAGCTCAAAATGTGGAATGACCTTTTAAGCTGCACTGCATGGTGTGTCTGTTGCGTAGTTAAGTTACTCTCCTTTTTTGTGTTCTAGGTTCTGTCGTATATTGTTCTTTGATAGCAAACTTGAGTCAGGAAGGATGAGAACAGCAGAAGACTCCTCGGGTACGGTCCTCCACAGGCTGATTCAGGAGCAGCTGCGATATGGGAACCTTACAGATAACCGGACCCTGCTGGCTATCCAGCAGCAGGCACTGCGGGGAGGGAATGGCAGCCCACGGTCCTCTTTGGAAAGCCTCACCCAGGAGGAGTGTCAGATGGTGCAGCATTCCACACGCCAGGAGCCCCAGGGCCAAGAGCACCAGGGCGACCACGCTCACTCCGAACACTTGCTCCATCGCATGCACCAGCTTCAGCTCAATGGGGAAGAGCTTCCTACCTACGAAGAGGCGAAGGCTCACTCTCAGTTTCTAGCTGTGCAAAGGAACCAGCAGGCTGGAGGCACAGGCTATTGCGTGGTTGCTGGAACAAACCAGAAAGCCTACCCCGAAGGCACATCCGTGGCCCACGTTGATTACCCACCCCACAGCCATCACGATGAAGCACTCAAGGAATTGAAACATGGACATGTGCGGTCTCTCAGTGAGAGACTCATGCAGCTCTCTCTGGAAAGGAATGGGGCCAAAGCTCAGATGACCATGAGCTCTTCGCAGAGCTTTCCTCAACTGTCCAAACATCATCACAAGTACCCAGTGCTTGCTGGATGCCAGGCACCTTTCCAGTCCACAGACCCTCGAGGCCCTCCTCCAGAGTACCCTTTCCGGATCACATCAGCAGCTCCTATGCTCAGCCACTCCCAGCAGCATGGCTCCTTTTACAATGAATCAGTGATTCCATATATTCAGTGCCAGCAGAACATGCAAGAGAGCAGTTACTGCAGCCAGCCTCAAACAGCCAGGTAAATATACTGTACAATCCTATTGCTTAAGATTCCTCAACTCTTTCTGCCACAAAGAGACATTAAAAATAGAGTTAAGGTCACTTTTTCTATTCAACAGTGACATAATACTGAGCTGATTGTTAAGTAGAGCTATTGCCTTAAGGTGAGACAGATTCATAACCTAAATTCAAGTATTGTTATTATTAAACTTTGTGGATATCTAAGGAGCATTTGTTGAACAAGCTGTGTCTCAAACTTATTGTTAGTACTGTATTTTTATAATTGACATTATTTCAGAATGCTTATATTGATTTTTTTTCATCCTCCGTCCCTCCTGAAGGCTCTGGCTCATGCTGACATATAGTTCCACAGATGTCTTGACACTTTGGGCAATGGGTTTGAGTGAATAAATAAAATTAGAATGATTATATTTAGAATTTTTGTAAATTAAAAATAAATGGATAAGTCAGAAAGCTCCAGTATAAGAAGAAAAAGTAGTGTTCAAAATTATTGGCAAATACATTTAACCTTTCCAGAAAGATATGTTTGGAAATTCTTGATGAGGTTATTACATTCAGGAAGACGTAATCTAGACATTCTTGGTCATTAGAATAATAATTCTAAATGTATTTATTCATTCAAACTCACTTCTGTCTTGTTTCCAAATACATTACTGGAATTGAGACAGGCAAAGGATAATTTTATTACTCGTAGGAATGCTTCTCATTGTTAACTGTAGTACAGCAAGGATAGGAGAGGCAGGAATCCTGACCCTGTCACATTTGCAGCTTAACCACCAAGTGACCCATTTAATTAATTGGATAGCGCAGGCGTGACAAAAATTTAAGTATCAGCTTGTGATTTTCCTTTAGCTAAGCCCTTCCTGCCATGCCAGTCTTTGTTTTGGTCCTTAATGGCTTGTTTGGGTGTACTCAGAAATGCAAAATACTGTAGTATGGAACTAGCCTCCTGCACCTCGTGTCAGGATGAGATAACCTCACAAAGGAAATATCAGGTTTTCCTGTGCAGAACAAATGGGTGGTTTTAATTGACCTACATTGTGTGTTGTGACCACTACTCTATCCCCATTGTCCAGACGTTTCATTTGTTTCAGCTTTCATTTAAGCAATGTTCAAGTTCCTTCCTGGCTTTTCTGTTATAGTTCAATTATCTCTTAAGTCATTTTCAAGAAGCAAAAACAAAATTGGAACAGAATGGTATCCTTTTTTAAAACAAAGGATTTTTGAGGAATGTAGCACAAAGTATTTCCTCTTATTTGTCATTGTTTATTCTCCTGATCAACTTCAAGCAAAGCATCAAAGCACAGCCCTTTTATGTTTCAGTTCTACACTGGCATTAGGGAAGCTCAAAAGCATAATTGTTAAACAAAGTAATTTGCGGGGAACTTAATTGGGAGCATATTCGTATTGAATATTCTGACTAACGTTCAGTGGGATACAGTGGAATTTTTGCAGTTTAGATATTGGCAAAATTGTATGCAGCTTTAGTTGCTCAAACAACCACACAAAACTCCCAAAGAATACCTGATATTAGGCATCCATAACACCAGGTTCAAACAAATTAATCTGTTTGCACATCGTGTCCAATGGATCACCACTCAGTTATGAGCCAGTGCCTTCAGATGAGATGGGGAGAAAAATGGGAAAATATTTGTGCTTTAATTTAAGTTTTAGCTCCTTGTATAATATTACATTAATAATCTACAGGAACAGACTCTCAAGCAGCATGCTTGATGAAACTCAATATCCCACACATCTTAAACCTGTCATGACATCTAGTCTTGTTATGTGTTTAACAGTGTTTGTCATTGCTTTGCTCAGGGCAACTCGGATTCAGGCTCTGCATTCTATGCAGCAGAACGGCTTCATGTCCCCCACCAACACTTTGGGAGCGGAGGCAGTAATGGCGGCTGAAGGCGATGCCCAGATTATGCACGTTGATCATGTGGCACTCATAAATCGTGCCCAGCAGATGGTGGAGATGCTTCTGAAAGAGAATGAAAATCTGAGGAAGGAACTTGATGGCCACACGGAAAAGTCAGCAAAGATTCAGAAGGTGAGAAGTGTTTTTGTTATCTAGAAAGGATGACAATTAATATAGTTGTAACTTTAGGATTCGGTGTATGTGGAATACTTGGACAAATCTACATTCAGGCCAAATTGCAGAGTGGAGGAAATTTGGGAGAACTAAACATGTCAGGAAATGTAATTGGCATCAGGGTATCCTGTGGGGATGAATTCCATTTTCTATAATTTACTCACTTGACTTTCCTTTTGGGTTAGGCCGGCATTCTGCAGTTTCAAATGAACTGGAAAGGTTTCCACCAAGCCCCTTCCTTCTCAATTATGTTGTCAAAGGTGGCTAGATGTATGGTTCTGCTTCAAAGATCTCTTATGGATTGCAAGGTTGCATCAAGATGCACTAACTAGAACATTTATACTTTGTGAGGAGATGCAAATACACCAACCAATTCATCATCCTACACACCTCAACGTGATTTTCATTCTTTGGATGCCATGAAGTTTTTAACTGTTGTAGATGAGTTTTGTCACTTTGTGACCTGCCCTTAATCTGTTAATTAAATGTCAACGACTTAACGCCACCCAATAGAAGGAATTTTTCTCATGCTTTTGAAAGTACTGATGTAATACGTAATATCTGGCCATGCCCTCTCCTTGCTTCATTGGTGTAAATACCAAGGGCATATAATCAGTACAGTAAATAATTTTAATCAAGGGATTTTAGTTTCAGGTTGTCTTTTCATTGGGTAATGAGTAATGAAATCCTTTTTATTTCATGTGAGATTTTCAGTTCCCATTTCTAATTGTAAGCTTTCTAAGAAAGGTATTCTGAGCTACTTTAGAAGTGGAATTTTAAAAAAACTCAAGAGAAAGAGATAACATGTTTGCCAATCCACATACCAGCTTTGGAATCATAATGGAATGTATGTGATCATAAGGGAGGAACCTTTCCTTTTCTGAACACAGCCAGCTTTCAGCTTGGAATCCACAGTGAAATAGTGAGTAGGAAACACGGGGAACAGAAGTCATGCAGAGCCTTCAGAAGCTAGTTTATAATTGACAATGTCTTCATACCTTGGTGGGTTTAAGTCCAATCCAATTGTTCAATCACTGTATGGTCTACTGTTTTTACTTGATAGGTCCTGGGTGTAAGTGGAGCCATATTTGAGCAATGAGTCATTACAACTTTATATCTATTGAACAGTATATATTACAGGTGTATATGATAGAGATAAAATCAACTGTGCCCTTCCATCAGGTAAGTGTTCCAGGTCATTCCCCTGAGTGAAGGGCACTATATAAATGCAAGTTGTTGTTGTTGCTACTTGACTTTCTAGTGTCTGATATGAGTGGATTGCTGAGACCAGAACATTGGCAGGTGGCCACAACAAATTCAAACTTGTGTTGTCTGCCCAGCAGCATTGCTTACCGCAGCTGTAATGGCCGAGCAATGAATGTGACCAGCGCAGTTGTTTTTTATATATCAAAGGCATCCTTTCACTTTCCTCTCCCAGTCAGCTGCAAGGTACCAGAGGGCATCTGTTCCCAGTAAGAGGTCTAAATCCCTTCAGCAGAAATGTAACCATATAAAAAATATAGATAACCAAATACTTATTTACCAACATAGAAATAGAAAATATTAGTGTCGATACACTTCCAGCTGATGCTCGCTTATATTGATCAGGTTCAGTATTATTCAATACCCTATTTAGCCAGACGTTTGAAGCACAAGCCTTAAAGGTCTTTTTGGAAATTAACAAATACTATGTCACACAGATCAAAGCCCCTCACCTGCAGCTCTTTGTTATGCAGTTTCTCTATTGCAAATAGTAGGGCTGTTCAGTCTTTCGCTGACTGGCTAATGCATTGCAAATATCAATTGAATAATTGTTCTCCATAAATACATAGTGTCGTATGAATTTGCTTTCATGAACCTCAAGCTCTAAATAAAGCCCTTTCTGGGAAATATTGGTACTGTGTACAGTGAGGGGTTTGGGCTCAGGTAAAGTTGCCAGTACCAATATGTAGTGAGCCTGAGCGAGCAACCATGTCTTAAAGAGGTGGTGGCTAGTCATGCACATCCCTCTACCCTATCTCATTGCCTTCATTTTAATAAACAGACTTTGTTTTCTCTGCAGTTGGAAAGAGAAATCCAGAGGATTTCTGAAGCGTATGATAACCTCATGAAGGCATCATCCAAACGAGAGACTCTGGAAAAAGCAATGAGGAACAAAATGGAGGGAGAAATCCGAAGGCTGCACGATTTTAACCGTGATTTAAGAGGTAAGGACAGCAATGTACCAGCAACAATAACAATTGACAACCAGTGGCAGGTATTTACAGTGGTTTAGCCCTGACATGTTAACATAGATAATGGTCATGACATTTTTTTTCAAAATCATTTAATCAAATGCAGATTACAATGGACCACAAACTGGCAATTTAAAACATTGTCAGGAGAGTCGACCCATAAAGGGAATTAATTCCACTTAAGCAGCATGTGATAAGTGACCTAAGGGTTGAAAGTCTCAAAGCGTCTTCCATTGTATCAGCCGCTGATAACTTAACACTACTTCAGTCTGATTACATGTTTACTCTGCTCAATGTCCCAATTAGAGCCATAGCTATTGTCACCTCTGCAATTCACCAATCCACAGCAAATGTAAAGGAACAAAAGGGGAAAGCATCATAAATTTCAAACAATTTATTACATTTAAGAAGTGTTCATAAAAATGCAACAGATTTCTTGCCCTTTGAATTTCTGATTGACAGGTTTTTCATTTTGTTTGTTTTTCCTTCTCTCTTGAAGTTGCTAATTTATGCTGTGCTTCTATTGCACAAGTGCTTAGTGTCTTCTTGTACCTCACCAAAAATGGCATTAGTTATGTCTGAACTCACACAATGAATATCATGAGACAATTTGACTGAGGGGATTGCAGCTGAACCCAACTCTGTCCCAAAGCCCAACCAGCATGATAGTGATCAGGAAACCCTTCTTAGCCTAAGGACATTGAGGCCAATTCTTGCGCCCTTACTGTCCCTTAGCTAAGGTCATCTAACACAGCACAGTCCTCAGATTAAACCAATAACATTCATTCCAAATCTGGTTTGCTGTGTTTCACTACTAACATGTGTTCTAACAACTTAGCTATTGGAGCAGTTGTAATATCTTTGCCACATTTTTCATTTGGAACTTGTTAGTTCACATTTTATTGTTTCATTTTTTTGCAGAAAAGCTGGAATCTGCTAACAAAATGTTAGCCAACCGAGAATGTGAAGTCTCACAAAATGAACAGAACACACTCAGCAAGTTGATACATCAAAGTAAGTCCCATTTTATTTGCTTAGCCAGAAAACCAGATCTTTTGCAGATCCTAATTCTGGTGGAATTATTTTAATATTGCATTTTACATTTAAAAAATTATAAACACGTTACAATATACGCGAGGTGCAGTACATTACCAAGGAGGATTCAATATAAATCTGATCTTTTTAAATTTTAAATAACTCACAGTCTGAGATAAAGCAAGATTGAGTTCCTTACTCACACCTTTGGAAAACAGACTGCACTAGTTGCTGCTTGGTTTAGCACAGGTAAACTATGCATTTTCTCCCCTAACCACCCCCCAACCTTGAGTTATTGAGTTATACAAAGGACACTGAAAACCTTAAAGGAAGAATGAGAGAGAGAGTAATGGCTGCACATTCCCCTTGGGTGCTGGTCTTGGCACTTGAACAATTATTCCCTGCAATAATAAAAGCAGCCTGAATTCCTTGCATGCCTCAGGTAATTCTAGCTGCTCTGTTTACTGAGCAGCCCTCCCCCTGCCTAAGCTTTGAAGCCAGTAATTTGCTCTTAAATAAAGCAGTGAGAGTTAATGAAAAGCCAGGTTTTGTTCGGTGTAATTGGTGTACCGTTCGCAGATACCATATCTCAGCAGACGTGTTTGTTCCTGCTGTTTCTCATGTGCCCTTGAGGAAAGGTCAGGAGGGAAGCAGTTATTGGGCATGCTCACTGGGTGGCTTGCGATATTACAGTGCTTTCTGTTCTATGAATTCGTTGTGGTGCAGAGTTCGTAAGTGGTGGCAGATTCCAAGATAAATAGCAGCAAAGAGACTTGTATTTTTTTAAAAAAAGCCTTTAATCTGCAACTGTGTTCTGCTCACCAGATTCTGTGTTAAAATTCCTGCACTGCCCTACTTATCTATGCTGAATTCTTTTTCAATTGCAGTCAGGAAATGCATATTTTCTGCCCCGCAGTGGATTGGTGACTGATTAACTAGACTGTTTATTTGTTTAATCTCTTATAATCTGAAGAGGAATGGTGCTTACATTTTAGATGATTAGTCCTGAATACATTTTATTGAGAAAAGCATAGTCCAACAGTAAAATAGTAGGTAACATCAAAAGCTTCTGTATCAAAGTAAACACATAACTTTACACTGCATGCTTGCACACTATGATTGTGTTTTTCAGAAGATTAATGCTTAAAGTTATATAGACATATACTTCAGATGTGTTTTGAGCTGCTGTGTTAGCAAGGAGGGCAGCTCAGTTTAATACCGAGGGCTGCTTTGTATCTGAAGTAAGCTGTGAAAGAAAGTAATTAGACTTGTCTGATAAGTTGGCTGGGGAAGTTGCTGCTGAGGCATGTAGGCTCAAGAGGTCCAGGTTTAGAACCCAGTCTGTGCCGAGTTAGCTATGAGATGCTATATTGGTCTCAGGATCACTGGCCTAGGGAAGAGAGAGAGATCCGGGGTCATCTGTGTCCTGTGATTTCCCACCACCACTATTGGAAAGCATGCGTTAGTGGATGTTGGATGAGGGCAGGATTCTATGAAGATGGTGTGGTCAATGACATTATTAAATAACTTTCCGACACTCACTGTCTGGATTAAGAATACCACTCCTCCAAACTATACCAAGACGAGAACCTGTGGAACATGCGGTTGCATGAGTCAGCGCCTTCATTGGAGGAGGAAAAACGTTTAGAAAAGCAGAGAAAGTTTTTTTTTTGCCTATTTAATAAATCTGCTAGAACAGAAGAAAATAAATGGACTGAGATGTAACTGCTATAGGGCAGATGCATTCCATTCCACTGAGAGGCCTCACAACTACTCTCAAGGTTCCCAAAGGAGAGTTGGAAAGTTCTGAGAAATTACTCTTGAAGTTCTGCGAGTACAAACCTTTTTTTTCATAAAAAAATTAAAAGCGGATTCCTGTGCCAACCGCTGCTTTGACTAAAATGTTTGGTATTTTGGGATAATAGTGAGAAAGCAATTAAATAGTTCGAGGCTGAAATTCTGGGTGGTTGGCTGGACACTTCTATAGAAAGTGATACTAAAATATCCCATGTGAGCCCCTGCTGCCAAATACTGAACTCACTGTTCATCCTGCCTCTGAACTGTTGAGTGCCTGCCACCATTATATATACATGCTGATCTGAACCATTTTCCCACACCTCGACCGGAATGCCAATAAATTATTTTGCTTTATAAAAAGAAATCTAAACAATAAAATTCTTCATACTCTTGCTACATTCTAAAAAACATCTGGCAGGAATCTCCCATTTACTATAAGTCAGTGATCGTGTTGGAAAATATTTGGGCATTGGATGAGGATTTGACTTGGCTGTGCACCCCCTCCTCCCAAAACTAGGGTAAGAATGGCCACTTAGGTGAGGTGCCATAAGGCAACGAGCACCAATGGAACCATTTGCCCTCGGGTTCAGCAGCAGCAGTGGAGGAAAGACAATTGGATAAAAAAAAGTTTTTGCTCTGGAGATTTCTCCAGGTGTATTTTGGTTTTCAATGAGTGTCTCTGTTGTACAGCAGTGGATTGAAGAAGCGCAGCGGGCCATTCTGCTCAGTCATAGCTGAGTGGGCGCCATGCTTAGTGAGAACACAGCAGCCATGAAGAGAATGTTTGTCATTCACCCCGATCCAAAGGCATTCTTTCCCTGTTGTACAGGAGACCTGTCCCTTCCATGTGGACAAGCAGGCAATCTTCACCATTTAACCCCCTGTGTGCTGAATAAGCAGAACTCCAATCTCCCTGTTTGGGGACAGAACAACAGATCTAGGGAAATTTAGGAGAAATTATACCAGCAGTCGGGCAAAAACAGAGAGGAACACTGGGACTGAAATCCAGCTGTACAGGACATGTTGTAAACCTTGTACCCTTAGCATTTGTACCATCAAGTCTGTATATATTTTTAAAACGGCTATAGGGGCAATCAAATTTTTCAGTGACGTTGAACTGCCCTAAATGAAGGAATACAGTATGCTGTTTGTATTCTTTGCTTTCATCAGTACAATTGTATAAATCAGTGTAGCGGCTGATGAAATATCCGTCTGGTTGGTATCAGCACAGGAACTTGCTCCGAGATAAACTTCAGTTGGCCTTAGTAAAATAGAACTATGTGCCCTCATTTGTAATGTTGATTTAGATATGTCTAAAGCCAACTTGTTGAGCAACAATCATAGATAAGTGAAGACCTGAGCCGCAGTAGATTTTCTCTTAACCACTGGAATCCAGGTTGGCGTGTCCTTTCTGTTCTCCCCCACTCCCTCCTCCATCTAACAACGGAAGTAGAAGAACCTTTTTTTCTTTATTACAAAAATTCGCACCAGTTTGCTTCTCTCTAGAAGGCATTGCCTTTTTTTTAAAACCTTTTCCTTGGGTACAGTTCTTTGGGTAATGGTCATCCACTTTCCAAAATCTTGCCCAAATGACTCTCTTGTCACCATAGTGGTAGAGAGTGATAGAACGCTTTTTGACTACTTTAGCTGAGTCCATTCCAGTCCAATTCCAGTGTAGAGCAGCTCAACATCTGGGACAAGACAAGACATTCCTCTTGTTCCCCGGTGGAGCAATTTCTGCAATTATAAGATCGTTGCATTTAGCAGCAAGAAGGAATTTTACCTTAAGCGAATTATTAGCTCTCCCTGGGGTGCAGAGGTGGGGTTTGGGGAGCGCTAGCCTTCATTAAAATACCGTAATTCACCAAAGAAACTAAACATAGTGCCATTTATCTCGGCTTCTGCCTTGAGGCCTGAAAAAGGATTGAAAAGCAGAACTCTGTTGTGCTTATTCTGTTTCTCTTTGCTCCCTTCTGGCACTGATCTGCTGCCTGTTTTTGATTTTTCTTAAAGGGGGTCCCCATTCCTCTTCATTTAAGTGTTAATTCTTGCTTGCTGGGAGGCAGTTTTGCTGGAATGTAGTTGCTGCTGAATATGTAGGTCAGAAGGGAGATGTACTGTACTCTGTCCCATGACATTCTTCACCCACCCCCACCCTTCTCCACTCCAATCACATTCTTTGTAAATGCCAGAACTTTATAGCAGGAAGTTAGGAGCCCGTTGAGGCCATTCAACTATTCCCTTAGGGGCAAAGAATGGAAACGAGGAATGTGCTTTTTGTGTTCATATTAATGCAGGGATTTTGCTAGAACGGTTATGCATTTTGCTGATTTTACACAACAAATGCTTGTACAGATTTGGACAAGAATGTAAATTATAATCAAAAGCTACTGGACAAAGAAGAATATATACTTCTTTTTCCTCTTGTTTTTCAAGGTTTTTTTTTGCTGTTTCCTTAATCGTCTCTTGCAGACCGCAGGAATGCATCCTGTTTTCTCAGAATAGTTTTTTATAATTTCTCTCAGTGACCACTCTGCAAAGACTGTCCTGTGTGCAAACCTAGCTGTTACTAATATTACAATTGGCCATGCCAAAATGCTGAGCTGACACTTTCCCGACACAATGGAATTGTTGTAAACTTGAAAATCACCCAAATAATATATTAGCTTTTCTGAGGTAGCACACAGTTTCAAGTGAATAATCATAATAACACTGGCTGATTGCCTTTAACGTAGAAATGAAAAGTTAATACTGCCTGTAGAAATTTCTTTAAAGAAAGAGCATCACAACTTGTTCCTCAATCCGCTTCAGCACGCGCAAGCTTTCCAGCAGTCACAAAAAACCTACTTACCTCTGCCTACAGTCACACATTCGTATCTGCCCCTATTCCTGTGAAGCACTCCAAGATGTTATCTTATTTAGTGAGCTGTATAAATGCAAGATCTTGTTTTGGTGACTGAGAATGGGAAACTTAGCTGGGGCTGGGTGGGGGCGGTGGTAATTTTCCCTATCGTTGCTCAGGGGATTTCAAGGCAAAGTGTAGCATTCCTACCATTGCCCGGCTGGAACCAGCTAACTCAAAGCAGACCAGGCATCGGAACAAGAACATTCCTGGTGTGTGTATCTCACTATCATATCTCCCCTCTCTAGCCCCCGTCCTCCCCGAATGCATACACACACGCACGCACACACATACTCTATTCATCGACTGCGTGTTCCCCACCCCCAACTATTTTTTTAACAGAGAATACGAGAATCCCTCTTGCCTCACACTTGAGTGAGGGTTACTGTTTTGTGTTACAACAAATCTCCTATACTGATGAGCCAGTAATTGAACTGGGAGGAGAAAAGTGGTTAAATGTTATGTTTACGTTGTGTTTTCACAGACAAAGATCACCTGAAGGAAAAAGAAAAGCTTCAAAGAGAACTCTGCTTGTTCCGCAGCGCAAACGAAGACCAGCGGAGACGGACGCAGGCCCTCGAACAGGCGCTCAACAGCACACAGACCAAAGTCGTCAAACTCGAAGACGAGGTGAGTGTCCCAACAAGTTCCTTCAGAATTAATGCCAAACTTCCTAAATGAAAGAGATGGTGAGGAATTTAGGGCACTAAATCCCATGTTTTCTTCCTCCTCTCAGTTGCGGAAGAAAAGAGCGTACGTAGAAAAAGTGGAGAAACTACAGCACGCTTTGACACAGTTACAGGCGGCCTGTGAAAAACGGGAACAGCTGGAACTCCGGCTGAGAAACCGACTGGAGCAAGAGTTGAAGGCCCTGCGAACACAACAGGTGTGGATCTTTTTCTTCCTGCTAATCTGATGCGAGTTGTTGTACCAGCAATGTTATCCTTTATTTCCATTTCATTTCCCTCCCATCGGCTCCTGGAAGTGCCCACTTATGCTGCCCTCAGACGCCTCAGCCAAGTGGCCAATCCTAAGTGTGCATTTACAGTGTTGACTGTTTAAGAGTCATCAATACTGATCTTTGATGCCCAAAGCACTTCCAAGTGTTGTTGTGATCAGGAGCTGGAAACCTCAGTTATTTCCCTCCCTTTATTTGTTATTCCCCAACTTCAAATGCTTTGCTGTTAGATTTTTCACGTGCATTTGTAGCTGTGGGTGAATTGTTTTTGTTATTTCTATTGATCAAAAAACGTAACATTTAATCTTACTGTTTGGTTCCCCAGCGTCAAGCAACACCGCAGACTCCCGGTGCGTCGGAATACAGCGCGCCTGCCTTAATGGAGTTGCTCAGAGAAAAGGAAGAGCGGATCTTGGCTTTGGAAGCTGACATGACCAAATGGGAACAGAAGTACCTGGAGGAGAGCACCATGCGGCAGTTTGCGATGGACGCTGCTGCCACAGCTGCAGCCCAGAGGTACGTGCCGTCGTTTGACATTTCTTACCAGTTAAAGATGCATTCGCTTCATGGAACAAAGCCGCAAGCTAACTAATTCCTCCCTCCCGCCATTAAATGCTTTGGCCTGTGGGGAGATTTGGGCTATCACTTAATTCAATTTTAACTGGTCATTGAGTTGAGACAGAAGCTCTCCTCTTGCACTGCTGTCAACTCTTCTGAACTTTCCTTAGAGCTAACAGCACTAGTTTTAAAACATTACCAGACCACAGCTTGAAACAAACACATTGTTGTAAAAGTGTCTGCAATTTATTGGATTTTAATATCTTCCTTGTTTGCATTTCTACAGAGACACCACGATAATCAATCATTCCCCACGGCATTCCCCCAACAGCAGCTTCAATGACGGCTCTGTTGAGAAAAACATTTACTTTGAGAACGGAGACATCATGATTGCCAATCATCGCCACCAAGAAATGGAGAGCAGGTACATTTAAAATGTGTTAACCTTGGATGAAGGACAGAATTGTTCTTGGTTCCAATGGCCCACAGCCAAAGAGCTGTTGAGGCTCATGTAAGAATAATGGGATTTGGACAAGGTATCACAGTAGAAGGAAAAAAGGAAACCAAATTACTGTCTAGAGAGGAGGGAGGGGTTGGCAATGGTTTTATTTTACGAAAGCACAAACACAAAATAACTTGTATTATTTTAATTTTAATGTTACAATATTACAAAATCCAAAGTGTTAGAAATTCAAAAGTGAAGAAACTCACACAGTTTTGTGTTTTTTGTTTTAAAAAAAAGGATTAAGGCGTTGCATGCACAGATCCTGGAGAAAGATGCCATCATTAAAGTCCTCCAGCAACGTTCTAAGAGGGACCAGACCAAAATGGAGCAGCCCAGACTCAGGCCAGCCAAGTCCGTTCCATCCATCACAGTGGCTTCGGGCATGAATTGCAACCGAGTGTCTCAGACAGGTTCTTTGAACCAACTAACCAACGAGAGGATCACTGACAAAACACCAAAAGTCACTACAGGTAGACATCCCAACAACCATAATATGTTTTAAAAGAAAACTTGATTGGCAATATATTAAGGAAAATGTTTTTTATCTGCAACAATCTGACTTTTTTTTATTATGCAAGTTTGTGCAGTGTATCAGTGAGCACTGTGTATTTTCTGTGTGCTGCATTCAGTACTAAAAAGTCTCCCCTTTTCCAGGCGCTCTGTTGAATAAAGGCCTGAGAGTGGATCAAGCTGCTGTCTCGGCCTCTCTTCCCCCTACGTCCCACGCCAAACATGGAAGCAGAGATGGCAGCACTCAAACTGACAAAGTAGCAGAGAATGGACACACAGACTTTCCTCCCCAAAGCAGTTCACAGGAAGCCAGCCACAAGGCGACTTCTTTGGGTAATTAACACTCTATTTCCTACTGACAACAAGTTGAGGAGATCGGGATTTGTAAAGCTGGATATTGAATTCTTTTTAAGGCATTTCTGGCAGAAATGTAACTATGCAGTTTGAACGACTCCTGAATGATGTTCAAGAGATAGATATAAAACACACCAGCTAATCTTCTTTCTCCTCCTCCTTGTAGATACCTCAGAGCTGCCAAACCAAATGCTTCCCAATGCAGTTAGAAACCTTGAATCATCAGACACGGAAATGGTCGAAATTCTCATCTGAAGGGTTAACTAGAAACTGTTTGACGAGAGATGGTGGACTTCTATGAAACATAAACATCTCCAATATTCGGATTGCCTTCCTTCCCCTCCGATTGCAAGATGTGAAAAGAACATTCAAACAAGAGTGTCCATAAGCTGCTATAAAAGACTTGTGTTTGAGAGTATGCACAGGACAAGAGCAGAGCTAGTCTTTGTGGAAAAAAAGTGCGCCTTTGCTGAGTGACAGGAGACACTCAAGAGCTACTCCTATCTATTCGAAGTGTTGTGAAGCTATGTTGTGTGTTGGACAGGTCGATCTTTTTGAGTCAGTATTTTTTTCACATAACTGCCAAGCTTGAGAGCTTCACAGCAACATAGATATATATATATATATTATATAAATACATAGCACTAGACCGTGCTATACATAATATATGCTGTACATAGCATGTAAATTACTTCTTTTTTAAAAAAAACTTGTTCCAGCTTTTGATTTTGTGCAATTGTACTTCATTTCTCTGCTGTTTCTAGCACTGTCTTCTTTTAGAATCTAACCTAAATTTCCTGCTTGCAGCCTGATGTTCTGTCCCATTTCCTTGTCAGTGACCAGATGTCTGTTTTCCATTTCATTTTTGTATGTGTGCCACGCAGTTATTGCTCAAGTTCTATTTAGAGCACAGAAATTCCATCTTGAATTCAAAAGTTCCCGAAATTTCCATCCATGACTGCAATACCCTTGCGTCCATGGTTACGGGGCAAGGCGTAAGCAACTTTCTAATGCGCAGCTGTGACAGAGCAGAAACTGCTGTTCTTGCTTTTAAGAAAATCACCATCTGAAAAGGAAGCCGGGTTAATCGAATACTCTTTTAACTCTTAAAGGGGTAGTATCACGGATTGAAGGGTTTAGGGTAAGCTTTTCCTCACTGCACAAGCAAGTGTAGCACAATGGCATAATTCCTTCGCTTTCAAAAAGGAAGGCAATGTTTTATTTGGAAAATAAAATTTACAATAAAATCTCCACCCACCCCATCCTAAAATTGATCCTGCAGAACCCGTTGAACCAGCTGAGGCTTTTGGTGCAGGCTGTTCTTAGCTACCCCTTGAAAGGCAGCATTGACCCTTTAAATGACTGAATTCTTCCAACACATTAAAAGATTTTGTCAGAGTTAAAATGTTTTTAAAGGGACAATTCCACTCCAAACACTTTTACAGTCCCAAGCAATGCCACTCGACAAGAGTATTGTCAAGACGAAAGTCCATTGGTACATTGCTCGATATTAGACGTTAGGTGTGCAGTCCACTTACATCAAACACTTTAAAACAAAAGCAGGTTCTGATGGGTATTTTGTGAGTGACTTGGGAGACCTGAGATTCCTGTTAGTGGAACATTCGGAGCTTATTGACACAGCCAGTCCTTGTGATCAACATTAGCAAAGATTCCACGTATTGCAATCAGTAGGAATGGGGATTGGGAGAGAGGTGGTTCTTTTAAGAATACATTGTTGGAACAGTCTGAGCCATCTTTAGATGAATATCAGTGATGAGGTGAGGGTATTTGGAGATACAAAAAAAATCCATATTGCTTGACTGATGACTGTCGCTTGATGCTATATACATCAACCTTCAAAAGTAACTTTAAAGATACTTCTTAGGTAAGAGTACAATGCTTTTTCAGTGAGAGGGGTGGGGGGATGTAAGGAAATTCTGCAGTCAAGGATTTATTTTCTGCTCTATAGAAACTTTCTAGCATTCCTTACCACAATCGATTAAGATTTAGTCCTTCTGCTGTTAACTCAGTGGCACATTAGACTTATGTTGTTGCAGTCCAGGAAGAATTTCACTTTGCGGGCCACAGTTCAAAGTGAAGCATTTTTTGAGCTGTTCATTGGCAGCTGGTTTCTGCCGTACAGTTAGTAACTATTTCAGACATTTTCCAACAGAAAACGGAGGTGGGGAGGGGGCAACGGAAAGCACAGACTACAGATCACAAAAGGCTAGACTAGAGAATCACACTTCTTCATCCATTTCAGAACTGGGAACTGGAAAATAGAGGGAATTTATTGTATTCTGCGGTTAGAATTTGCCCAGCTTTTAAATTGTGATGTTTTTCATATAATGTGCAATTGCTGGCCAATGCCTCTACTGTATATGTCTTTGAGAGCATTCAGACTTGTCCTTTGTTTACAAAAGATATTTTGAAACAAAAAAGAAAAAAAAACTTAATATATTTTGTTTGAATATTTGTATTCTTCACAATATGTATTTAGTGCTATTGAATGTTATGCCAAAGATGACAGACTGCATTATTATTTGATAACTTATGTAAGTATTTAAATGTAAACTAGAGTTTGCATTGACACCATCTACTAAGATTGCTGTAGCATTCTGTATGGTATACAGTTATTGGAAAATTATTGCTGTGAACTCTTCAGACATGGGGAGGGGGGGGAGGTTGTATTGAAATGTCAACATACATTTCGGTAATAAAATCAAAATTAAATAGTACTTTTTTTAAAATTCTTGGATCGTTGCAACATTTGCAGTAGCACATTTTGTGTCATGAGGTTGTCTCAAAGTACTTCAGATTGTTACTGTAAAGTGTAGTGACTGCATATTTGTAGGAGAACATGGCAGCCGATTTGCACAGTAATGTTCCACAGGCAACCATAAAACAATTTTTTTTAATGCCTGAATTTTATATTCCATGTGCCATTGTTGTTTGCACTACTGGTGTATAATTTCTTAATTATGCAGCCTATTGTGGTAGAAAATAGTGCAATTATTTTGACTAAACAGCATTGTCAACAATTCACAAATGAAACCCAAGATTCAAGGATTACTTTCTAAACACCATCTGAGAGCACTCACATTAATAGATCCAGGACTTTAAGTTCTGCATTAACAGAGCCAGAATTGAGAGTTTCCATTATGAAGATGCAATATAACTATTTTGAATCAACATATTGCAAAATAAGGACTTGTTGTATAATTACTCAAAAGATATATTGGTTTTGGAAAAAGTGCTCTGTTGGTCCACAAAAATAATATGAAGGAATGGGATATAGGAGGGGCTTAAGTATAATGACAAACCAAATTGTTTGGGGATTCAATCTCTGAAACTTCAATTAACCTGGCTATTATTTTTCTTCCCCTTCAAAGTTCTCCTTCTTCATTGAAGATGCCTTGCATAAGTGTCTTCTTCATGTGTGAGCATATGCGACTACCAAGCCCAATCCCATTCATCCTGACATACAAACAAACATACATACATACATACATACATACATACATACATACATACATAGAAATGACTGAATAGTGATCAGCAATGAGAAGATTGGCTGGTGGTTTTCCTCCTCATGAAGCTGGGAGTCCTGATACCAATCATTGTCTCGATTGGTCTCTTAGCTGACTGAGCACGGGTTGAGAATTGAACCTGGGGCATTCCAGGACTAACATTGGCAGCAGGTATGTCACAATGAGCCATAAAGGGAGCTCTTCATTTATTTGGGTCAGTCCTGGGAATCACAGCTCCACGTTGTATCTGTGATATCCTCACTGAAGGGTTCACAATTAGTCAACTGTATCTTTGGCAACGTTTGACTATTGCCCATCAAAGTAACTTCTTAAGATTAAGATCATAACTTTACAGCCTGCACCACAAGGGGGACGTAGCATTGCTGCACCTTAAGATTCACATTCTGATAATTTTATTGGTGTGCCATAAAACCTGTCAGGGGATTTTGGCATATGTGCTATACAGATAGTTATCGTTGTCTTTATTGATCAAAACTATGCAGGAAATTTTACAGCACAGCAATAGAATTTTACTGTACAGGAGCTGCAACAAAGAACAAATTGACAAGTCAGGAGGTTTCCCCAGAATACACTGCACAATGGAAGGGCACCAGTGCCTTATTTGTAGTGAGGGCAGAAATTCAACATTTCTTTACCTCAATGCATTGCACTTCAATACAGTCTCACTGAACACATTTGGTTCTGTAAATGCACATTGAATGGGCTGAACCTTTTTGCTCCTAATTAATTGTTTTCTTTCCGATTTCTCCCTTTCTCTGTTGAAGGTTGTGATACGTGTCCATGGGAGCAAATTACCCTCTAATTCAGAGATGACGAAATTGCAGCCCATGTAACTATTTTAGAGATGTCTAATGTGGCTCGCGTGTCTCAAATTGGCCTAGTGGCCTGTTTCCATTATGTATCAATCTTGTGATTTTAGACAGTGAATGTTGGCTGTGGAAGTGTCACATGAGAGCTCGATGGTGTTCTCACCCTGTAACTTCAGATTTGGACTTTCCATCCATCAGGAGCTGTTGCCAGAATATATTTGTGCTGGAGTATTTTTTCTCCACTTGTCTGAAGGCAATGACTCATGCTGGGATACAGCTCACATGTGCTGACATTCTCTGGTACCTCAATTAGTGAGATTAATCTTTATGCATGAGCTTGGAAAGTGAGTTCAGATGGGATATGGACCATGTTGAGGAAGAGAAGAAATGATATCACAGCTGAGCGTAATTTTCTCTGCAATCTATGTTCAAACATTATCAATTTCCAAGAGGATTTATTGGACAGCAGTCAAGTGCAAAAAGCATGACTGACTCCCAAGTTTGTTCCTGCCTTTCCTTGAATTCCATAGACATGCACCTTTTCCTAAGATTTGGTGCGATAGCAATCAGGAGTGGGAACCCTGCATGATTTTCACCCACTCTCAGCCTACAGTCCCAAACCATGTACAGCCTTGGCTAAGACTAAATATGCATCTGGGTTTGTGTGGCTCACCTTCACCCTGGAAGTCCATATATTTTTACATTAGTTTGTAAACTGTGCCATTCTGCTGATCATAACATTTTTGGGGATCTTGACAGCTCTTCAGAGGTTATCCTGTATGTAAATGACTTTACAGAATTCTATATGTACAGTTGTGACCGTATGTCATGCAGTCAGAAGATGTACCAGTAAGTAACCTTGGGGTCTTGTCACAAGGGTTTTGTTAGTTTCTGGTAGTGTAACCTTGGCCTTTTCCCAGACTCCAACAGCATGGAATGCACAGCACTGGGAATTAAACAATTTATTTACAACAATCTTCACAATCTTTCAGTCAAATTTGCTCTGCACACAGTTCAGCAGTTATAGAAACAGTTTGAGTTTTGGGCCTGGAGGTTTCTAAGAGGGCTATACCCAGGTTTCTGTTCACATCCTGTTAACCCTGTACTCCAATCACATTCAGATTTGCTGAACTCTTGAGATGCAATTTAAATGCTGTACTTACGTTGCTGTCAGCAACCAGCAATATTAACATATGATGGACACCTTGTTGCATCTATA